GTTTGTGCTTGACTACTAGCCTAAAGGTTGGCAGTTCAAACCCACCCAGCAGCACCATGGAAGAAATGCCTGGTGATCAGCTTCTGTAAAAATGATAGACAAGGAAACCCTATGGAATCCAGTTGTACTCTGTAACACACAGGGTTACCATGAGTCAGAACTGACTCAATGGCAATGAGTTTGTTTGTTTTTTGATTTTATCCCAAACCAAACCCATTGCCATTAAGTTGATTCTGACTCACAGCAACACTATAGGACAGAGTAGAACTGCCCATAGGGTTTCTGTAATCTTTACCAAAGCAGACTGCCATGTGTTTCTTCCATGGAGCACTGGTGGGTTTGAATTGCCAACTTTTAGTTTGCAGCTGAGTGCTCAACCACTGTATCACCAGGGCTCCTTCCTTTTTGGTTTCATTAGGCAGTAATGTAGAGATGTTAAATGTATTCATGACCTGCTACTATATAGCAAATTACCCCCAAACCTAGTAGCTTAAAACAACACACACTTACTATCTCAGTTTCTGTGGGTCAGAAATCCAAGCAGTGTATTGGGTCCTAGGAAGGCTGCAATCAAGGCATTGGCCAGGATTGCAGTCACCTCAAGACTTGACTGGGGGATGATCTAATTCTAAGTTCACTCATGTGGCTGTTGGTGGGACTCAGTTTTCTTCTGGCTGTTGCCCAGAGAGGCCCATGTCTTGCCATGTGGGCGTCTCCATGGGGATACTCATAACATGGCAGCTGTCTTTCCTCAGAGTATGAGGGAGAGAGGGAGAAAGAGTGAGCAACACTGAAGTCATCACTTTTTTTATAACCTAATCTTAAAAACAAGAGGAGCCCTGGTGGTACAGTGGTTAAGCACTCGATGGTTCAAACCCACCAGCTGCTCCACAGGAAAAAGAAGTGGCAGTCTGCTTCTGTAGATTAAAAAAAAAGCCTTTGCCTTCAATTCAATTCTGACTCAGCGAGCTACAGGACAAGATAGAATTGGCCCAGAGGGTTTCTGTGGTGGTTATGTTTTTGTGTCAACTTGGCTAGCCTGGTTGAGTGGCTGGGCAGCTGGATGTAGTATTCCCCATGATGAGACTAGTCATCAACTCCATGGTGGAATCTACTGTGAGCAGCTGAGTAGCTGCCTTTGGGAATGTGGTCTGCTTCCTATATATAAAGCAGCAGCTTTGGGAACAGTCTCTGACTTACGGTACGCTTGGACCCTGCATATAGCTGTGTTGTTGTTCAGCAGCCAACCTTGGGACTTACAATGAACTTGAATTAATGGTCTGCCATGTGGTTTAGTAACATCGGGATTGTGCCTTTTTACTTGTCAACCTTGGGTTTGTCAGCCTCCACAGTCAGCAGTTGTGTGAGTGAAGAGACGCCTCTAGCTTCAGTGGGCTGGGAGCAGGAGGCAGAGCTGGACCCCAAGGTTGAGGGGCTTTCACCCAGGCCCTAGAGCCTGGCACTTTAAACTTGGACTTAAAGCCTCCAAACTGTAAGAGAATAAACTCCTGTTTGTTAAGGCCATCCCATTTGGGTATATTCTTGTCAGAGTGGCACTAGGTAACCAGAACAGTTTCCAAGGCTGTAAATCTTTATGGAAACAGAATGGTGGGTTCGAACTGCCAACCTTTTTGTTAGCAGCCAAGTACTTTAACCACTGTGCCACCAGGGCTTGCTTCTGTAAAGAGTATAGCCTTGGAAATTCCATGAGGCAGTTCTATTCTGTTCTATAGGGTCACTATGAGTCAGAATCAACTTGATGAGCACTGGATTTGGTGTTTTGTTTTGTTTTGTTTGGTTTTGGTTTTAATTTTGAAAGGTCAGAGTCCCTTGGAGGCAGAGTACTAGCTAACTAAAAGGTTGGTGGTTTGAACACCCCCTTTCCTCCAAAGGCACCTTGGAAGACAGTCTTGGTTATCTGCTTCTGAAAGGTCACAGCCTTGGAAACCCTGTGGAGCAATTCTACTCAGCACACATAGGGCTGCCATGAATTGGAATCATGTTGACAACAATTAACAACAGCAAGAACAATTTGGAAAGTTACATCCCATCACTTAAAGGCAAGATTGTTGAGAACCATGTTACAGGCAGCCTACCACGTTACTTAAGCAACTGGATAAACAAATCTAGAGTTCAGGAGAGAGGGCCAGGTTGGACATCAAATATGAGGTTATCAGTGATGGACCTGGACAAGATGATCTGGGAGTGAGTGAGACAGAGAAGAAGAGGGGACCAATGGCTGAGGCCAAGAGTATTCCATTGTTTGAAGGTCAGGATGTGGAAGAAAAGCCAGCAAAGGAGATAGAGAAGGTGGAGCCAGTGAGATAGGTGGGGAATGATGGAGAGAGTGGTGGCCCTGGTGGCTCATAGGCCATGAGAGAAACTATTGGCAGGAACAGGAAGGAACAGATGGTCCAAAGTCATGGAGAGGTCAGGTAAGATAAGGTGAAGTGACTACCAGATTGGGAAGTGTGGAGACCGTTGGTGACCTTGACCAGTGTCTTAGCTGAGCGGTGGGAATAAAGACCTGAATGGAGGAGGGAGTTCTACAGAGAACAGGCAGCAAGGAAGTAGAGACAGTGGCAGACAATGCTTCTGAGGAGTCTCTGTGTAGGGGAGTATAGCCTTGTGTGATGCTTTCTTGCATCACCAGGCAACTCTTACCAGTTGTCGTAGAGTCAGTTCCAACTCATGGTGACCCTGTGTGTGTCAGAGTAGAACTGTGCTCCATAGGGTTTTCAGGGGCTGACTTTTTCGAAGTAGATTGCCAGGCCTTTCTTCTGAGGCCTTTCTTCTTTCTACCTCTGGGTGGCCTTGAACTTCCAGCCTTCATTTAGCAGCCAAGTGCATTAACCATTTGCACCACCCAGATACTCCAGGTAACTCTTAGTGGAACTGATTCTTAAAGCTATGCTTTTTCCTCCACCTCTTTAACACATAGGTCTCCTTCGGTCCCCACTAACTTTCACCCTCCTTTGCTACCCCCTTCCACCCACAGTGAACCCAGTTGGGATAGGGGACTAGAAGCTGAAGTCTGCCCGTGTTTTATTTCTGATGTCAGTGAGTCACAGCCAGACTAGGCATGTCTTGTGACACAAGGGCAGGAACACACACTATTAATGTCCACAACCATCAGCTTGAAGCTCCCTAAATCCCAAATCAGCCATCCCCACAGGATCGGCCTTAGAAGGCAAACAGTGCTGATAGGTAAGAGCCTATTACTGACTGCCATCTTGTGGTTATTTTGGGAAGTGGCCTAGAATCAAATCTGTCCCTCACAGGGCAAAATTAAGTGAATTGTTAGAACAGTATCTGGCACTTAATGAGTGTTCAATGAGTAAGCCACTGTCATTACTGAAGTCCCTGGGTGGTGCAAACAATTTAGACGCTTGACTGCTAACCCAAAAGTTGGAAGTTTGAATCCACCCAGAGGCACTTCAGAACAAAGGTCTGGTGATCTACATCAGAAAAACCATCCACTGAAAACCCTATAGAATACAGTTCTACTCTGACACACATTGGGTGGCCGTGACTTGGATCGACTTGCTGATAACCGGTACTGTCATGCTCATGGCTCGGAGGGAAATGGTCAAAGCAAATATGACCTTTGACTTCACTCCTAACATTTTTGAAGGAAAAGGAAATATCCAAAAAGGAAGTCCCTCCATTTTATCTCAATAAAAGTAAGAATGCTTCAGGAAACCAAGTGGGTCTTTAGTGTAGGAAGTCAGATGAGCTGGGTTCAAGTCCTGCTTTTGCTACTATGTGCCCTTGATCACCATCAGTTGACTCCAAGTCTCAGTGTCATCAAACCATAAACTGGGAATATTAGGATTAAAAGTACTGTATGTTTAAACAAATGACGAGCCATTACATGGTGTTTGCAAGCCTGCAACCCCTTTTTGTGTTAGTTTCCTATTGCACTGTGCACATTTTATGTATGTGCAGGTTATTTACATGGACTCATTATATGCAAAAATGTAGTACACAAGGTGGTGAATGCAAAGAGCTCTTAGTAAAAGGGACACTCCACCAGTTAATGGTAGTGGCATACTGGCTCTCAGCACAAGGGGTGCATGGCTTCAAAGTAGTGGCTCTCAAGTGGGGGCACTTTTGCCCTCCAGGGGCTCCTGTCAATGTCTAGAGACATTTTTCTGGTTGTCACAACTGGGATAGGGGGTTGCTACTGACATCTAGTGGGTAGAAGCCATGCTAAACGATGAATAAGACAGCTCCTCACACCAAGAATTACCCAGTCCAAAATGTCTATATTGCTAATGTTGAGAAACCCTGGAGTTTTCTTAAATGGAGACTCTTCTTGCCATTTTATTATGAACCAATCTAGGACACTCCTTTCTGAAAAGTGTGAGCAAAGCAGAGTGATATACGAAGCTGGAAAGGGGTTCCACGCAGGAGTGAAGTGAGGTTCCAGAAGTGCACTCTCCATTGATCGCTGCAAGCCAGCCACACGTTGCTATTGAAATTGAAATTAATTAAAATGGAATAAAATGTAAAATGTGGTTCCTGGGTCATGAAAGCCACATTTCAAGTGCTCAGTAGCCACACGTGGCTAATGGATAGCATAGACAGAGAGTGTTTCCATCGGCACAGAAAGTTCAATTGGACAGCACTGCTACCAAAGGACTCAGCATGGATCATGGATCACGGATCAGTGACAATCCCACTGGGACAATCCACAGGAGGAAAACTAAGGATGTGCACAGAGGAGGGGACCTTGAATGACAACTGCATAAACCAATGAGACAGTTAAACAAACACGAAAGTAGCATGTAATAAAATGCTAAAACAAGTGTCTCTCACACACACTCATCAACAGATGCGCAAGAATTGATCCATGCCACACCCACCTCCTGCAAGAATTACCCCAAAGTGCAGAACCCCAAAAGGCAAGCAGCCTCAATAGAAGGCAGGCAGGGAAAGGGGCGCTCCAATGTTGAGGGGCACTGAGCCTCTCTCATTGTCTTCTTTCCTGGCATGATTCAATTTAACTTGTGATACATTGCCAGCCCGAATGGGGTCCACAAATTGACCGTACTGGTGGAGGAATGCCGGTGGCGGATCATTTTGCTTGAGATTTTGGTTTCCTTGTAAAGGATGAGTGCTTGCTTGACGATGAAGGGCAGACAGCAGAAGTGCAGGAGCATGCGGGAGACTTGGAAGAGCAAATGCATGTAACTCAGCTCCTCAAACAGCTTTCTGATGGAATCCTTGAGGAGCAGGGCCATGGAGAAGTTGAAGACCTCATAAATGATGATCCATATGATGTAGATCAGCAGCCCCAGGTAGATATTCATGTGGATACAATAAAGGAGGACGCAACTGACAATGAGGGTGATGATGGATAGGCAGCTTTTGATGTGCTTTATATTGGTTATGAACCAGGAATCCTGATCCGCGTATGTTTCCTTGTAAATGCTGAATAAGTCTTCTTTGTACCCAAAGTTTACAACAGAGTTTGCCTCAAAGAGGAGGAACTGGATGGTGTTGAGAATAGAGAAGATGCCCACAACGAAGCAACACCTCTTGACATTCATTTTATACTTGTTTCACCAGAGCATCTCCTGCAGAAAAAAATGATGAGGATACATGACAAGATGACAGAGCGAGACAAATTCCCCAAGCTACTAGACGTATATGGGGGATATAAGAGCAATAATGATCTATTATTGACAGGCAATAGGACATGGAGTTTGGTTTCTACTCTAACCTAACTAGCTATCTCAACTTTCACTGCCATCAAGTCGATTCTCATTCATAGTGACCACCATTGGGTTTCTAAGACTGTCAACCTTTACAAGCAGACTGACTTTTTGTTTGGCAGCCAGATGCCTTAATCAGTACACCACCAGAGCTTCAAATTAGCTATAGGCAACCCCATTGTTATGAAATGAAGGAGTTCCAAGTTACTAAGCCAGTTGTTGACTTTGCATCTATGGGACATGGCTTTGCCTGAAGGGGCAAAAGGGTGCTCCCAATTAGTGTCATTTTGGGGGGAATTAAGAAGCTGGGATAATGATGGGCTTCCCTCATTATCTCTGGGCTCCCCCCTGGGGAATTTCTTCCCCTTTTCCTTTCTTCCAAGTCCTTAGAAATATAATTTCCTGGGTCTGTGCCAGACACGTGCCAAGTTGTAAGGTTTTGGCCAGTAACATGTGGAACTAGGTAAGGTTTGTGGATTGGAGACTTACTATCTTCTCTGCTTAGGGTGAAAATGGCTTAAGGATAAGCCATAGTTGTGCAGGCAAAGCTCAGAAGGCAGACCTCCGGTTGGATCTAGTTTAGACTGGAACTCTAGAGGCTGGCTTGATCCATGATGGAGATGCCTAGAGCTGGAGCAGACCCTGGTGAGGGGGGTGGTTACCACCAAGGGTCCAAGGCTGGGATGTCAGCAGGCCCAGTGCAAACATCCTTCCCAGGATGATCACCTTCTTACCTCCCAATTTAGAAGACTTCAAAGCAAATCTCCCTCTCTTCATCCAACACACTGGCATGCTACCACTGTGAGGGAAGAAGACAGGGGAACAATTGTACATGACAGATACTTAACAACAAAAACCAAACTGCCGTCGAGTTGATTCGACTCATAACAACCCCTCCCTGGGTTTCCAAGGCAGTATCTCTACGGAAGAAGATTGCCCAGTCTTCCTTCTGAGGAGTGGCTGGTGGGTTTGAACCACCAGCCTTCTGGTTAACAGTCAAATACCTTAGGCACTATGCCACCAGAGCTCCCAACAACAACATTTAAATAATTTACTATGTACCAAGTAATATTCTAAGGAGTTTAATATAATCTTTATAATAACTTCACAATGGGCACTGTTGCTATCCCATTTTATAGCTGAGGAAACTGAGGCAAAAAGAAGTTATATAACTTGCCCAAAACCACATAGCCTCTAAGAGTTAGATCTGGGCTTCAAACTCAGGTATAATGGTTCCAGAGTTCACAATCTTAACTTGCTTTATAATGTATTGCTTATAATATCAAATAAGTTGAAAACAACCTAAATGTCCATCTATGTTGCTGTTGTTGTTGTTATGTGCCCTTGGGTCGGACATGATTCATAACAACCCCTCCTTGGGTTTCCGAGGCAGTATCACTATGGAAGTAGATTGCCCAACCTTCCTTCCGAGGAGTGGCTGGTGGGTTTGAACTTCCAGCCTGCCTTCTGGTTAGTAATCAAGTGCCTTAGGCACTATGCTACCAGAGCTCCTAAATGTCCATCCATAGGGAATTGTAAATAAACTCCAGTGCATCTATTCAATGGAATACTATGCAGCTATAAAAAATGAAGAAGCTCTCTATGATACTGGGAAGATCTTCAAGACATATTAACAACATGTGGAACAATATATGTAGTATGCCATTATTGTGTAGAAAAATGGGATAATGATAATATATATTTGAATCTGCTTCTATTTGCATAAAGACATATGTGAATTTGCATAAAGATGCATGATAAATTAATAAGTCACTTTGGGAGGAAGAGGGTATGTAGACATTGGACATATGGGGCACAGGAGTGGAAGCAACATTCTTGTGTTCTATATCTTTGTAATGTTGTTTTATTTTTGAATCACATGTATGAATTACCTATTATTTTATTAGTCAAAGTTCTCTAGAGAAACAGAACCAGAACCAAGAGGATATACAGATATAGATATATGGAGAGAGAGGGAGATTTATTTTAAAGAATTGGCTCATGAGAATTGTGGGGGCTGGCAAGTCTAAAATCTAGAGGGTAAGCAACAGCCTGGAAACTGACAATCTTGTGTCTGAAATTGGGAGGCCAGGCAGTGGCCTGGAAACTCCAGCAGGATATCTGTGTTACAGTCTTGAGTTAAGATTCCTTCTCTCAGAACCTGTTTTTGCTCTTAAGGGTCTCCATGGATTGGATGAGACCCACCTACATTATCTAGGCTAATCTGCTGTACTTAAACTTTATAAATGTTAATCACATTAACAAAATACCTTCATAGCAACATTCAGACAAGTGTTTGACCAACTGGGTAATATAGCCCAAACAAGTTGACACATAAAATTAACCATCACACCTATTTAGAGAATTTAAAAAAAAAAAAAAAAAAAAAAGTTTTAATGGAATTCTTGCAAATGTTTTAACTGGCAAACAGAAATAGCATTTCCATGAGGCCATCGATCAAATGTGCAGTGGTATATGGTTTGCCTTTTGATGGGAGAAAGCTCTGTGGAGCAGTTGGGATTTCCAGGAAATAGGGAGAAGACAGCTGAGAGGAGGACATGGCACCATGTACCATGGTGCTAGTGGAGGCAGAGTCAATACCATCTGGGAGCTGGCCCTGCATCAGTGGGTGTCCACTAGAGGGAGCCTTCATGAACTATTCCAGATTGAAGTCTGGGTTCATTGTTGTTGACGCTAATTGGGGCAGCTGTAGAAACGGTTAAAAATGGCAAAACATGGGAAGAAGGGAGCTGAGGTTGCTTCCTTCATCCTCCAAGTCTAAAGCAGCTTATTGGAGAATCTGAGTCACTGATTATGGAGATGAGAGGCCTCAGTGGCATATTTTCCATGGTGGGGCTCCCGTAAGGAGTTTTGTCCTCCTTGTCCCTGATCCCCTTGTCATACAACCCACCATATCCATAGCAAGGTGTCCCTGGATAGGTGTTCTGTCTGCTGACCCTGTTCATGGGACTGCTCTGATCCCAGCTTTACTGGGCTCTGCCTCCTGCCTCCTCTCCACAGCCATACTACTCCCACCCACACCCACTCCGCCCCCCACTCCCAGTACACAAAAAAGTCCTAACTACTTCTGGTAAGATGGAGGAATAGGCAGACAAGTGACACACCCTCTTCAACAAAGAAAAGACAACAAACCAGTTGACAGAGATACAGAAAATAATCCTGGAACCCTGAACTTTGAAAGGAACTATACAGAAGTGGATTAGGCACCAACTAGTGGAAAAACCAGGAGCTCTGGTAGCATAGTGCCTAAGGCACTTGACTGCCAACCAGAAGGCTGGCGGTTCAAACCCACCAGCCACTCCTCGGAAGGAAGATGGGGCAATCTACTTCCGTAGTGATACTGCCTTGGA